AGGAGGAGGAGGAGGAGGAGGAGGAGGAGGAGGCGGAGGCGGAGGCGGAGGCGGAGGCGGAGGAGGAGGAGGAACGCGCACGACCACGAAGGGAGTGACCAAATTCACAGAAACATGCATTGAAAAGACAGAAGAGCTAGACGAGGAAGTCGGGGTCCTCCTCCTCAAGGCCCTCGCCCCGTCGCCGCCTGTCTTCGATCTCCGCTCCGAGCTTCTCGAGATCCGAGCGCGTGAGGCCGACGAGCCCCAGACCTCGCTGAAAGGTCGGCCGCTGGCCCCTCGCGGCGAGACGGCTGGGCGCCCCGAGACGGTTTCGGGGGCCCCTGGGGGCCTCTGCTCCAGGCCGCGAAAAAGGGGGTCCATTCTAGCCGAACCTCTTGGGTCGGGGCCCCAATCTAAGCCAGCGTGAAACCCTTCGGATTCCGATGGCCTGGATACAGACCAGCACGAAATTTGTCAAGATAAAACGAGCGACCTGACGACGACGACGGTCGACAAACCGAACGAACGTTACTTCTCTTCGTGCTGGCGTGGGAAACTGCACCACAACAAGAGGTGCAGCACAGTGGCGAATCGTGAAACGTGCTTCTATCCGGCTCATAAACATCACTCTGCTCCAGAGTGTGCCCATTTTGGATCCACGCTCCAGGGATCGGAGGAGGGGGGATCTCAGGAGGCTGCTCGCTGGCAGGGTTCCCTTGGGCCTCCTGGCGCCCGCACCCTCGCCCAGAGGCCCTTGGACCACCAGGCGCCTCCGAGGGGGCCCCTGAAGCCCCAGGAAGGGGCAACCCAGGGATAGCGTCGAGCAGGACGTACCTTAGCGATTCCAACCTCACGTGATCGCTTAAACACATATCTCTGCACTCAGCCTGCTGGCTAGCGCAGTACACGCCCACTCGTCGCACAAACTCAGCATAACCAGTGAGCAGCTGTTTGTCAGCCGCCGCAATGCGGAATGGCTCAGCCCCCTCCTTGGCGAGCCTGTCCGCTTCCGAGTTCCCAGCACGCTGCATTTCCGTGATTCTACCCTCGCGCACATCCACCGTCGAGGTGTGGGAGGGGATCTTATGAACACACATTCCCTCTAAACGGTCCCCAATCTCAGCCCACCAGTGGGCCCGCGCAGAGTTTGAACTCGAGGCCACCGTGAGGTTTCGGAGGCACCCGACCGTGGCAGCGCAGTCCACATAGAGCGAGGCATTTGAGGAGAGGACCGAACGGCGAGAGCGCATCAGCACCGCAAGATCTTCACCGTCGCGCGCCTGCTGTCCAGGCGCTTCCCCGAAAGGCACAACACCGAACAGGGCAGCCAAGGTTCTGCCTTGGCTGTCGAGCACCACAGCTGCCCACCCCGCGGTCCCTAGGCCTGTGAGCTCCCCCTCAAGTCCCGATCCGTCCGTGAAAACGTGCGCCCCCTCGGGGATGAACCAGGGGCCGTCCTGGGGCCACTGGAAGTGACGCGTGCACGGATTCAGCGGGTCGCGAGGGGGTCACGTCCACCCAGGCCGCAGGGTTGGGGAACAAACATCTATTGAAGCGTTCTCCAGCTGGGGTCGGAAGATGGCCAACCGCACGAGAAGCCCTGGCAACCAAGGGATCCAGGTTCTCACGGCGCCACGGTTCGAACGCAATGCAGCGGAAGCGACGATGGTACAACGTGCCACGACCATCTCTGCACAGCTGACATTCACAGGTGGCCTCTGGACTGTGTTCAAACACTCTGTGCTGGCACCAACACACATTCGTCACACGTGCCGAACGCGCGGCCTTGTGCGATTTCGTCCAAACCTCCGACCCATTCCGCCTCAGAAGCTGGTGAATGGACTGCCAAAAAACGGTCCCACTCCACGTTCCAAAATCAAATTGCTTTAGTGGTTCCTCTCGCTCGGTGGCCCTAACGACCGAGCCATGCAAGAGGTGTGAGAAGAAGTTTGGGCGATAAACGATATATAGACCACTCTCTCTGGAGGTCATCAACAAGTGCCATGTTCGAAACTTCGAAAGACCATCGGACCCGAGAGAGCTGCAGGAAAAGAGCAGCAGCAGGCTGACGAACCTGGCTCCATGGGGCCTGGCTCTTCTGAACAGCAAGAGCGTCCTGGACACAAGACTCCAAAGCAGCTTTCGAGATGGACTTGGCCCACCAAACTCCAACGAATTCCTTTACAGCCGACACCACCGTCACCAGAAGCGGGTCCCTGAGCCAGAGTCGGGAGGAGGAGAGGAACTTGAGGAGGAGGAGGAGGAGGAGTCGGAGGAGGAGGAGGAGGAGGAGGAGGAGGAGGAGGAGGAGGAGGATGAGAGGAGGAGGGGGGGAGGAGGAGAAGGAGTAGAGGAGAGGAGGAGGAGGAGGAGGAGAGGAGGATGGGGAGGAGGGAGGTGGAGGAGGAGGAGTAGAGGAGGAGAGGGAAGGAGAGGAGGGGAGGAGGAGGAGGCGGGAGGGATGAGGAGGGAGGAGGAGAGGGAGGATGGAGTAGGGAGGAGGGAGGAGGGAGATGGAGGAGGAGAGGAGGAGGAGAGGAGGAGGGGGAAGGGAGGAATAAGAAGAAGAATAAGAAGAAAGACGCAGTGAGAAAAAAGCAGAGCAGAAGCGAAGCAGAAGCAGAGCAGAAGCAGAAGCAGAGCCGGAGCCCCAGAAGCAGAACATAATATATGTTCCGATGGTTTCTATACGAATATAAATATATAATAATACATATTAATAATAATAAAATAATAATAATAATAAATACTAAGAAAGAAAAGAACTTAAACAAGAATATAATAAGAAGAAAGAACGAAGATAAGAAGAGGAGGAGGAGGAGGAGAGAAGGAGGAGGGGGGGAGGGGATGGGGGAGGGGGGGGGCGGAAGGGAAGGAGGAGGAGGAGGAGGAGGAGGATGGGGGTGAGAGGAGGGGGATGGAGGAGGAGGAGGAGGAAGGGGCAGGGAGGACCGCGACCAGGACGTCGCTGCATGCGACGAAGGAGCGAGATGGATGAAGGAAGATTAGGATGAGGAGGAGAGGAGGAGGAGGAGGAGAGGAGGAGGAGGAGAGGAGGATGAGGTTGAAGGAGGAGGGGGTGGAGGAGGGGAGGAGAGGAGGAGGAGGAGGAGGAGGAGGAGAGGAGGAGGAGTAGGAGGAGGGGGGGGTAGTAGGAGAGGAGGAGGAGGAGGGGGAGGAGGAAGAGGAGGAGGAGGAGGAGGAGTGCAGGAGGAGGAGGAGGAGGAGGATGAGGCTGAGGAGGATGAGGGGGAGGGGGAGGAGGAGGAGGAAAAGGGGGAGGAGGAGGCAGAGGAGGGCGAGCTGCCAGGCCAACCCTGCGCTTGCCGACCTGGCGGAAAAGACGATCGCCCGCAACCAGGCGTCCCGCCCGGGGGGGGGGGGCGCGGCAGGGAGATTGGTCATGTTCTTCTCCTCCTCCTCCTCTGCCTCGATCCCCTTTTCGAAGAGGTGGAGGAATACTTTTCCGTAAGGGCTTCGCCCCCTGCCGCCAGCCCCCCTCTATCATAATGGGATGTACCAGCGTCGCGTCGGTGCGGATCGACGTTGCCTTGGCGCAGCTGGGGAGATCATGCGGGGGCGGATAGGAATCACCAGCGCATGTTGAGGCGTTGGCGTTATCGAAGACGCCTACGGCGAGTCACTGCCGCCCTCTGCCCTTTCGGAAGCGCCTGTGTGGCCGAACGTTGAGGCCAGAGCCCTGCCAAGCTATCGGACCATGTGTTCCCCGAAGCGGTTTGGAAAGCCTTCGGGGAACACGTGGGGGAGGACGGGCAAGAGGAGGAGAATGAGGACTGGTCGTGTTCGGGGTCCCTTGGGGGTTCTTGTGAGCTTTTGGAGGCGTCTTGGGGCCTGCCGGCCGAAGGTTGGATCTTGGAGACCCTTTGGGCGCTCTTGGGGCGATGTTGAGGGCCTTGTTGGGCCGTCTGGGGCCGTCGGAGATTTGAAAAGAAGAATATGCAGTAATCTTAAACACGAAACGAATATCATTGACTTTGACACTTTCGGGCCTTCCTGGAGGACGTCTTGGGGAGCTCATGGGCCGTCTTGGAGGTATATTGCGGGTCTTTTGACCCGTATTAAACCATCTTGGGGCCATCTTGGGCCGTCTTGCGTAAATTTGGGGCCATCGTAGCCGTCTTGGAGACCATCTCTGCCGTTTCGGAGGCATTTGGGAGGCAATCTTGGCCATCTTGGAGGGCATCTTGGGCGTCTTGGGGGCTTCTTGGGGCCTGCTCGGGGCCCTCATTGGGGCCTCTTTGGCTGTCATGGGGCCATTTTGGAGGCCTCTTGGGCCCTCTTGGGGCGATGTGGCCTCTTGGGCCGTGTTGGGCCTTCGGGGAGCTGAAAAAAAGAAGATGCAACAATCCTTCAAACACCAGCGGAAAATCAATGATGTGTCCCCTTGCGGGCCTTCTTGGAGGACGTCTTGGAGCGCTCTTGGGCCGTCTTGGAGGCCTCTTCTGGGCCTTTTGGGCCGTCTTAGACCATCTTGAGGCCATCTGGGGCCGTCTTGGGTGCATCTTGGGACCATCTTAGCCGTCTTGGAGGCCATGTTGGCCGTCTTTGAGGCATCTTGGAGGCCATCCTGGGCCACCTTGGCCGTCTTGGAGGCCATCGTAGGCCATCTTGGAGCAAGAAAGGCATTGACAGACGGATTTTCGGGAACCTTCCAGGACCCCGGCGGGCTGGGCCGAAGCCCCAGGAGGAGTTCTTTTGGAAAAAGAACCAAAACCAACACCGAAAGGATCTAGCACGCCAGGCACCCTTGTGATGAATCAA